AAAATATACAAAAACACTTGATACTATCCATAGTTATAGGTGGTAGGAACTTTTGTATCAGGGTAATTTGATTGCTGAGGAAAATCTGGCAGAGTTGGTGGTGCCCTGACTCACTGCTCCTAGGCAATAAAATGAAACAAGGTTGTATTACTCAAATAAATTGTTATGGACACAGCTATGGTCACAGTTACAACAAGAATTTTTCATCCAATCATTCAAGAAGTAGTTTTTGAGAGTCTTTTAGGAGCCAGACCCTCTTCTAAACATTGAGGATATAGCAGTGAGCAAAACAGATAAGGTGACTGTCCTACTGTTCTAGTGGGAGGAGATAATCAAGAAAGATAATCTCAGATAGTGATAAGTACTATAAAAAAAATAAAGCAGTCCTAGCCCGTTTGGCTCAGTTGAGAGAATTGGCCTGCGGACTGAAGGCTCCCGGGTTCGATTCTGGTCAAGGGTACATGCCCAGGTTGTAGACTTGATCCCCAGTAGGGGGCGTGCAGGAGGCAGCCGATCAATGGTTCTCTCTCATCGAGGTTTCTCTCTCTCCCTCTCCCTTCCTCCCTATAACCAATGAAAATATATTAAAAAATAAAATAAAGCAAGGTGAAGGGTCTACTTAACATTGATCAGAAAGGTCTAATTCAGAGGGGAACATTTGAGGTGAAATCTGAAATAATATGGACTCATTTACATAAAGATCAGGAAGAACATTCCAGGAGAGCACATGGGCTTAAAGTGTAAATGAGCATGGCATGATCAAGCAAACAAGAAAGATCAATGTGGCTTTAGCAAGATGGAGAGTTGTATGATATGAGGAGAGAAAGGTGGGGGCCAGGCCAGATAATGACGGTCCATTGGGCCATGGGTTTTCACTTTAAGTTAAAATCCAGACACCCTGGAAGTCATTGGAGGATTTTAAGTGGGGAAAGGACATGATCGTTAAAGATCACTCTGCCAGTTCTGTGGAGAATGGATTATGGAGGGTGGGCAAAGGAGGAAAATCATTTAGGAAGCTACTGCAGTTAAACAGGCAAAAAATAATAGTGACTTGGAAAAGACAGTCATTGGAGGATTTTAAGTGGGGAAAGGACATGATCTTTAAAGATCACTCTGCCAGTTCTGTGGGGAATGGATTATGGAGGGTGGGCAAAGGAGGAAGATCATTTAGGAAGCTACTGCAGTTTAAACAAGCAAAAAATAATAGTGACTTGGAAAAGATGTTTGCTTCTGTGAGAATTAATTGGGATATAAGTAAAGTGCTAATTCAGTATCTGGTACATAAGCACTGAACAATAAAATGGTGTGAGGTAATAGAAAATATACATTGGTCTCTGCCCCTGGTTCCAGACCCAGGGCTCCTAAAACTTGGAGCATCTTTTGTTCTGAGGTCACTCTGGGTGGGCTCCTGGATGAGTGCTGGGGACCAGAAAGACCCAGCCATAATTAGAAGTTTGGAATTTTCAACCCTACCTCCCATTCTCCAGAGAACAGAGGGGTGGAAATGGAGTTAGTAATTGATCATGCCTATATGATGAAGCCTCCCTAAAAATTCCCAAAGTACGGTTTGGTGAGCTTCCAGATTGGTGAACACATCCACACTGCAATGTGACGCACCCCAACTTGAGGGGCACAGAAGCTCCTTTTTCAGGACCCTCCCAGACCTCGCTCTATGTATCTCTTCATCTGTACCCTTTATCATATCGTTTGATAAACTCGTAAATGTAATTTTAGTGTTTCTAAAGTGCTAATTCAGTATCTGGTACATAAGCACTGAACAATAAAATGGTGTGAAAAATTAAAAAAAAATAAAATAAAATGGTGTGAGGTAATAGAAAATATACATTGGTCTCTGCCCCTGGTTCCAGACCCAGGGCTCCTAAAACTTGGAGCATCTTTTGTTCTGAGGTCACTCTGGGTGGGCTCCTGGATGAGTGCTGGGGACCAGAAAGACCCAGCCATAATTAGAAGTTTGGAATTTTCAACTCTACCTCCCAGTCTCCAGAGAACAGAGGGGTGGAAATGGAGTTAGTAATTGATCATGCCTATATGATGAAGCCTCCCTAAAAATTCCCAAAGTACGGTTTGGTGAGCTTCCAGATTGGTGAACACATCCACACTGCAATGTGACGCACCCCAACTCGAGGGGCACAGAAGCTCCTTTTTCAGGACCCTCCCAGACCTCGCTCTATGTATCTCTTCATCTGTACCCTTTATCATATCGTTTGATAAACTCGTAAATGTAATTTTAGTGTTTCTCTGAGTTGTGTGAGTCACTCTAGCAAATTAATTGAACCTGAGGAAGGGGTCCTGAGAACCTCCAATTTGTAGCCAAATCTGACAAAAGTTGTGGGTAACCTGGGGATCTACTATTTGCAGTTGACATGTGGAGTGGGAACAGTCTTATGGGACTGAGCCCTTAACCTGTGGGATCTGACACTATCTCCAGATAGACTGAGTTAAACTGCTGGACACCCATATGGTGTCACAGAGATTTGTTTGGTGGGGGGACCACCCCCCATTTGGTGACTAGAAATGTTAGAAGTGTTCTGTGTGAATACTAAAGGAGACATACAGAAGGGAAAGAACTGAGGTTTTCCTCTACAAAGGAAAAAGACGCACAGGTGGAAAACAGTTTTTCCAGTCAAATGGTACTTATTATTATTAGTTTATGCCTACAGAAAATCTTATTTAGTAAAACATGAACATCAAAATCCGTAAGACAATAACTTAGGAAGTATACAATGACCACAACACAAGTATAAGAAATATAACTATGTTATTTAACAAAATTTGTTGAGAATCTATTCTGCACAAATTATGAACGGGTTTGCTAAGTCAGCATGGGAAACTGAATTAATAGATCAATTAATCTGTAAGGGACCTGAGAAGAGCTCAAACTCTCACTTGACGAACAACAAAATTGCAGTCTACAGAAAGAAACTGCTGTTTCTGTTGAAACTGCTATCCAAACTGGAACATGAGAGGATCATGCCCTAGTTTTCATTAACAACATAAAACAAGCGTTTTTAATGAAATGTTATATGGGCAGCACATTACTATACTAATGCTAAGAAGATGTAATATTTACATAAAGCCTCTGATATAGTACTTTTCATAGAGTAAATGCTCAATAAACGGTAACTATTCCACCTGTATGGTCTTTGGGAGGCTGAGTGTGTGATGTCTACCTGACATCAACTATTTGATTAACTTGATAGTAGAGCCACAGGAATTGGAACCTAACTCAACCCTTTTATTTTTTTAGATGGAAAGAGAGGTTTAAAAGGGCTAAATGACTTGCAAAGCCAGCCAAGACCAAACCCTGAATCCCCAGTCTGGTTTCCATTACATGTCACAGATCTTCAGGTTGGTAGTGTTCAAACTTTTATAAGAAGGTAATAGGAACATAGCTGCTATACCTGACTTTTCAGTCCCTAATTAAAGTCTTCTTGAGCGATGATTTTAATATAAGAATCATCAACGATGCAGACTGGGTATATATTGTCTTAGGAGTTAACAATGGAACAGTTTTGATAATGCAATTCTATCATGGACACCTGATGAATGACAGTTACCAGAGTAGCTGTTACATGCACTTAAGCAGAGAGACTACAAGCAGAAAATAAACCCAAAGGAGAAAATGATCTAAAGCATCTTCTGAAACACACTTAAAATGTGACAACAGCTGTGATTCACTAAGAAATGGAGACAAACTCTCTTGGCATATAGCAACAACAGAATGGTTTGTTTTAAGCCAAGACTAATAGGGAGAGAGCCTAATAAAAGCATTGGGAAATCAAGACTAAAAACCACAAATTTGGGGAGAGTTGTAGCAAGTTTTCCTTTTCACAGAGTGGAAAGACTAACCTTGCGCTTTCAAGGCCTTTGCATATGAGATTGGGGTTTCCGCCCCCTACTCCCATAAAAAAATAATCTCTGTATGGGAGGGGGAAGGGGGATATGGCATAGAGGGGAACCCTCTCTCTGTGGTGAGTTAAACTCATTTCCTGCAAATTTTACTATAGCATATCTCGTTTTATTGCGCTTCGCTTTGTGGCGTTTCTTACAAACTGAAGGCAAGACCCTCCACCAGCGAAGATGACTACTCGCTTTATTGCGGTACTCCTACTACGTTGGTCTGGGACTCAGCCCGCAACATCGCCGAATTATGTCTGTAAGGTTCTGTGAAAGACGCTTGCCTTGTCTCAAAGACCTCAGCATTATCAGGGAGAAGGAAGGAAAATGGGGTTCGCGGAAGTACGCAAATAAGCCATGGAGGAATAGAAGCGCTCTAAGACGGGGCTATGGGTTCAAAGGTAGGAGGACGTCTAGACTCAGAAAAGGCTTCATAGAAGCGGAGTTCGAGATAATGTCTGAAGAGGAGGCGAAGATATGAGGATGAAGGGTAAAGAGAGTGGGGGTGCGCTCGGGCAACCCGGAGAGACCAACTCACAACCGCCGACAGAAGACGACGGGAGGGAGCCCCCAGGGTGGCGGCGGAGGTGCCTAGTCAACTCAAGAGCTGGAGGCAGCGGCCGGGCCGCATCCCCATGGTAACGCCGCCAAACTCGGGTTCGAACGCCCGCGCCGGTGCCCGGCGCTGACAGTCCCGCATTGTCCTCCAATGGGCGTCCAGGGAACTCGCTGAGGTTAGCCGTCATCTCCTCTAGAAGACCAATCAGGGGTCGGAGAAAACAGTGGGCGTAACCCTCAATTTCCGTCTTTCAACCAATCGTTCCACTTGAGAGAAGATCTCGCGACGTTCTAAGCGAGAGAAAGGCAGCTTTGAGGCGGGCCGAGAATTTTTTTCCTTCAAATTATTGGTCCCCCGAAGCGCAGTCGCGCTCCCCGGATTGGTCGACGTACCACTCCCTGGAGTCTCCGTCCATGAGCCCCCTCCTTCCTCCCTCTGCTTGGGGTGAGTAGCGGAACGGCCCGTGTGGGTTTAGTTCTCTGCGGATCAACCGAGCCTCCGGCTCAGCAACGGACTGATCTCGCGTAGCTGCAGGGTCAAAGGTGGACGCGCGCCCCTCCAAGCTGTCAGTGAGGCGTGGGCAGGCCGAACCCCAGACGCTCGCAGGACCTCAGTTTCCCTGTGTGCACAGAGAGAGGGAGGGTTCAGTGCCCACTGAGTCTTGCTTGCCCCCTTGCAAGTGGTGATGGGATGGGCCCTCGGGATCCCAAAGTTCCTGGGTTTAGGGCCCAGCGCCCCGATCGCGTTCTACCTTCCCCTCCCTGGGCCTCAGTTTTAACCTTGTTGTTAAACTTAAAACCCTGCCTCCTTCCCCAAAGAGGTTTTATATTTTCTAATTGCTTCATTTATTGAATGGAAAATATCGTGACAATTATAGCGGAAGTAAAGAAAGTCAAACGAGAGTCTCAGTACCTAAAATACCATTTACTTTTTCTTTGTTCGGGCCTGGTTTGGGTCCTATGAACTTGTTAAACTTAGTATATATAAGTAAAGTAAAGTGAATGCAAGCAAATAGCCAAATGTTGACCACTAGTGCAGAGTTCAGGTAAAGAGCCATGATATGGGGAGTCAGACAGACCTGATTTTGAGTTACTACTCAGACACTTCTCTGAGTCATAGTTTCCTTTTTCTTCTTCTAAAAAAATGGTGGTAATGCCTCAGAGAGTTGTTGTGAAGATAAATTGAAATAATGAAGGTGAAGCACTTCGCACAATGCCGGGCAAGTAGTAACTCCTCAAAAAATGGTAGCTAACAACTTAATAGAAACAGAAATATACGAACCAATGGGCCATTAGACTTACTGTAATTGAGTACCCAATTTAGCTCAAAACTTAAATAATAATAATTAAGGAAAGGATCCATTCTTCAAACGTGAAATTTCTTCATAGTACCTATATTGAAAGGGATTTATCTTGTGGGACCTTTTTACACTTTTTTTCCAATTGATTTCAGAGAGGAAGGGAAAAGGAGAGAGAGAGAACAACATCAATGATGGAAGAGAATCACTGATGGGCTGCCTCCTGCACACTCCCACCGGGGATTGGCCTCCACTCTGCAACCCCCATTCCCCTTGATGGGAGAGAATCACTGATGGGCTGCCTCCTGCACACTCCCACCGGGGATTGGCCTCCACTCTGCAACCCCGGGCATTCCCCTTGACTGGGAATGGAACCATGACCTCCTGATATATAGGTCGATGCTCAACCACTGAGCTACACTGGCCAGGCTTGTGGGACCTTTTACATGAGGAACATACATGGCGTGGTGAACAGTGTTCCCCAGCAATTTCGCAGAAAATATGAAAAGACTTTTAAAATAAAATATGTTTATTAATTTCAGAGAGAGGAGAAACATGGATCAGCTGCCTTCTGCACGTGCCCTACTGGGGATTAAGCCTGCAACCCAGGCATGTGCCCTGACTAGGAATCCAACTGGCAACCTCCTGATTGGTGTGTGGGATGGTCCTTAACCAACTGAGCCACACCTGCCAAGCTGAAAAGCCATTTCTTTATTCATCTATCAATAAAAGCTAAGCGCGTGCCATTAAAACACCATAAACCCTGGCTGGTGTGGCTCGGTTGGAGTGTCCTCCCATACACCAGAAGGTCACAGGTTTGATTCCTGGTCAGTAAGGTGCATAGGAGGGGAACTAATTGCTGTTTCTTACATCAATGTTTCTGTCTCCCCCCCTCTCTTTCCCCCTTAGGTAAAAAAAAAAAAGCATGTTCTTGGGTGAGGATTAAAAAACACACACACAACAACAAAAATAAAAAAGCTTTCTGGTGATCTTTTATGGTACAGGGATAAGAGTGACACATATATTCAGTACTTCTGATGTGTCAGATCCTATGTATACATTATTTTGAATTACAACAATTGTGAAAAGTAGGAGTTATTCTCATCTTACAAATGAGAGAAAATGAGGCTTAGTGAAGTTAAATATTTTGCTCAAAGTAACACAGTTGTTTAAAGAGCTAGGTCTTTCTCACTGCAAAGACAGCCATGCTTTTCTGTGCTGTGCCATGCTATTTCAGACTGAAAGAGGATGAAAATGCTTGTAATAGCAGATGCACAAGCAGACTCACCCAAATGGAGTGAGGTGGGCTCCAGAGGTACCTACAGTGAGAGCAAAATTTTTCTCTAATGGAAATTTCCACCTTGGGAAATGAAGAGATGAGATCAGAGAATCACTGAACTCTAGACCCATGTCATTTTACCTTGTGGTTAGTCTTTAACGCTTTAAGTTCAACTTGTCCCAAACAGAAATCATTAGCTTACATTCTACTCCCTACTCTACCTACTTATCTTCTATAGTTACCCAAACCATACGTTCTCTCTCTATCTCTCTCTCTCTCTCTTGGACAATGAAACATCAAATCGTGTTGATTTTCTCTTTGAGATTCAAATACATCCCTTCTCCTTTCTCACTGCCTCTGCCTTAATTTAACTCTATATCATTTGTCATCTGGACTGTTGGCAACGGGCTTATAACCAATTGATCTTGCCTCTAATTTCCCTTCTAATTCATTTCTACCTCCCTTGCAATTCATTTCCACCTTCGTTGCTTCCAGACATGCTTCCAGAATGTCTTTGTAAAATGTCAGTCTGACCATATTATAGCCCTCATTGCTGTCAAAGGCTCCTCATTGCCTACAGAATATACACTAAGCTGTTTGGCAATGGAATGCCATCTTGTGCTTGAGGGTCTTTGCTCTCACCCTTTTACCTGGGTGCCCCTCGCCCCCACCTTTATTTTTCTGGTCAACTCCTAGCCATCCTTCAAAATCCTTATAGGGTACCCCTTTGACCTAAAGGTAATCCCTCCTTTTTCTTTGCTATCTTTCCATCTTACACATACCGCTATGATGCCCAAAACACACTGGTAAATTGTCTGTTTAAATATCTCCCGCTTTCACTAGGCTGAGAACCCCTAGAAAACAGGAGTTTTGTAGTATTCAGCTCCATATCTACTCTTCAATCCTGTTACATTGCCTGTCGCATGGGATACACTCAACAGATGTAAGATGAATAAACAGATCCCCTCAGGCTAATATTAAAATTCACCATCCTTGCTTTCCAGAATTGTACAGCAGATGGCACTAATAGGCCACTAAACAGATTCCCTTCACTAGGAATGATTTTTGTCTCAACCTTGTCTGACTTTGTCCTCATCCTGGAAGCCAATATTCATGTCATTGCAGGTGAAATCTGTTTCCTCCCTCAGCCAAATAGCACAGATAGCAAGATGACTCAGCAGCTTGGTCTCTGAGACGAGAAAGTGGCAGATGTCCAGGGAAAGGTGCAGTTGAGGGAACATTTTCATTGTCTCAATTTCATCATGGTGGTTGGGGGCTTTTTTCTTTTCTGTTTTCTTTTTCTCTTTTTGCTGCTGTTGTTACAAGAGAGAACTTTATTCATAGATGGGTGGCTCATTTCTGTCCACTCCTTTGGAAGGGGAGAAGGGAGTTGGAGAATCAGAGAAAAGACCATGATGATGTGGAAAATAAGGGGAAGCAGAGCCGTCACAGAGTTGCTCGTGGGCCAGCGTAGTTGGGCCTCCTCACAGTGGAATGGTCTGGGCAAATTTTCTGGACACTAGCATCTCAAATTAGGTGCTTGTGTGCTTGTCCAAGGCTAGCATCAGGGTGTTCCCAACACTCGGTACTTGGAAACCCCCACACTACTGGGTATGGTTTTGAACATGTGGTTTTAGGTTCCTGTTTCCTAGGAAAAAGCAGAAGAGGCAAAGAAACCCTTATCCAGAGAGGCAAAGTTTAGGCACCTCTGGCTACACTACCCCTCCAGGGTTGTCTTTGGGCACCAGGCCCTTCATTCATATACCCTTCCAACTAAAACCCGTTCTGTAGAAAGGATTCCAGCCAGACATCTTAAAAATTCTCCATATGAATATAGATCAAAGACGGAATTTTGGAATTGGAAGTAATTTTTATAAGTCATTTGCATGTCCCCTGTCAGGGCCATTTTTGCCCCAAGCCCTGCTCTCTCATGGTAAGGAGTGCTGTATAAGGAAAAAGAATATAGCCTTTGGAGTTAGGCTTACTTGGATTCAAATCCCACCATTCACAGATAGGTATGCCTTTGGGGCAAGTATTTTAACGTTTTTGAATCTCAATTTCCCCATCATAAAATGAAGATAGTAATGCTTATCATGAAGAGTTGTTTTGAGCATTAAAAAAGATACCCGTAGCCCCGCCGGTGTGGCTTAGTTGTTGAGGGTCGACCTATGAACCAGGAGGTCATGGTTCAATTCCCAGTCAGGGCACATGCACGGGTGGTGGGCTCCATTCCCAGTGGGGAGTGTGGGGGAGGGCAGCTGATCAATGATTCTCTCTCATCATTGATGTTTCTATCTCCCTCTCCCTTCCCCTCTAAAGTCAATAAAAACATATTTTTTAAAAAAGATATAAAAAAACAGGTGCAGTGTAATTGACATAGTGTAGATGCTTAATTGATAAGATGGTGACATGAAACATTTCTACTAAGGGGATTCTAGGCTATGAAATACAAGTTGGGGGAGGATTTGGGGAGCTCTTTCTATACCTAAGGGTATATTTGAGGGCTTTGGGGTTGAGCTATACTTGCAATAGCACTCTGATTAATTTGAAAACACGGAAACACAGCACATCAGTATAGCCATTTACCTGTAAATTATTTTTTGGCACCTAAATCCTGAACCTCCTAGGTGTGAAGGAGTTATACATAGAGAGAGAAGGCCAAGGCACTTTTCCTTAGCTCCTGGAACCTCCTAATGACATTAAGGGGTGTTTTTTGGTTTTGTTCAGGTTATTTTAACCACCTAAGGCATTTTGCCACTTTTCTGAGGTGTGAATTGCCTGCTGTTGTCCTGGCCTGGCGTTCTCACCTCAGTGATGGCTGCAGGCATATTTGCATATTGGATGCTGTGTTCTTTAACCTCCTGAGATTTGAAATCATTTGAAGTGTGTGTATATATGAGAGAGAGAGAGAAGCAGAGACAGAGAGACAGAGAGATGCTTTCAAACCCCAGGACAGTTTCAGCTTAGTGGACTCCAGAAAACCTCCAACAATACCTCCATTGACTTTTATGTAAATGGCACTCTTTAGAAAAACACTGGGCTATTTCCCAAATTCGCAGAACATTCCCTGAGCATTTGTTTGAGTGAGGTGTGGAGAGAGTTCTGTTGAATCAATGAACATCTGTTGAGGGCTGCTCTACGAAGTCCCAAGGAGACAGAGCTCATGATGTGGCTCTTCCCTGCTAGAGCTAGAGATTTACCTTACTAAGTTTGCATGCTTGTGGCTTTGTACTATGTCCACTTAGCTAAGCTGGAACTAGGTTGCCCAGGATTCCCTTCTGTATGGTTCCAGGTTAGGGTTGACTTTAAGAAAATTTTATTTGAGATTTGTAAAGCTGAAGTGAAGTAGCTACCAGTACACTGTGAAGGGGGCAGAGCAGGATAACAGGCATGGTGGCAGTGCATAACCCTTGACACTGATGTGCGCATTGTTTATGCACAGCCACCGAGGCCTGCAGCTCCACAACTCCACCGAATCTCCTCCTTCAGCTACTCTGAGTCCTGGGCCAGGTGTACACGCAGCTCTGTGTGTGGCAAAGAGCTCCAGCTTCTGCAAGTCACCTGCGTCAATGAGCTTGCAGATGGTGAAAGGAAGTTGCAAGTTTCAGTTTGTCCTCATGAGTTCCACTTGTCCTTTTAGTTCCTCTTTGTTCTCACAGGTTCCAGTTTTCCTTGCTCTCCCCCACAGCCAGCTTTCCTTCCCCAGCTGCTGGCCTGCTGACCTATAGAGACTTCAGGCCCAACAGCAGATGCAGATGCGGCAGCACTGCATGGATTTCTCCCTCAACTCCCATCCTTGAACAAGGTCTAATTCCTATACTAAATCCTTAATTTTCTGTTGCTCATAGTGTTTGGCTTCTCTTATCAAACCCTATAGTAGAAATTTATTCAAGCCATGTGAAAGGCCCAGAAGATGGGTGACATCTGAGTTGCTTCTGAAAGAATGAGCAGGAGGTAATGTGTATGGAGAAGGAGGGAGAAATTCCAGAGAAAAGCTGGCTCAAGCCAAGCAACTGAAAGGAAAAATAGGAGTCCTGCCTTCTAGAACTGTCTCAGACTTCCTCCATGAGTCGAGAGCATAGATAGAAAGAGAACATCTAATCCTAGCTCTTAATCTTAGCTCTTCTGGTCGCATTGAGATGAACTGTTGGTAGGTCTGGGTTTTAGATGTTATCACTCCTGTGCATTGGTATCTACTTAGATACATTTTTGCTAGGGTGCACCCTTGATACTCCTCTAAGTCCCCTCCCCATAGGAAAATATTGGCCTGTTCCCCTCTCCTTGTTGGCTCCATGAGGCCACTCCAGGCTTGTCTTTCTTGGCTCCTCCATCTTTGTTTCCTGAGGCTGTGTTGGGATGGCAGTGGTGTGAAGGAATGCTCTGGGGCTTCCTGTCCAGGCAGGGAGGGTACTGTGCCTGTAGTCTTGGATTGCAGAGCTTATCTAGGGATTCTAACATTTATTCCATGGGAATCCACCCAAGGCAGGCATAAGGTGCCTTATACTTACTATAATCTACACTTATAACTTGCTAATACTTTCCAAGCATCTTGATGGGGCCTGGGGGAGAGGGGACAGGGAATGGGATCAGACACCTCTCTCTGCCTATACCTGGAACCAGTAATTTGAAACCTTTATTTCTGGCTTCCAGAATGGGGAAAGCTCTCAGCATAAATGTGGAGACCAGTGAAATAGAACACAATGCTTAATAAAACCCGCTTTCCATTTAAATGAATTTTTAAACTCAAACAGGATCACATTATACATACTATTCTAAAACATATATATTTTTTAGTATGTCTGAAAATCTTTTTACAAGCAGCACATTGGCTCTACCTCATTTTTTTATGGCTTCATTAATTTTCTTCCAAACTATAAAGGAAAGTTTATTTAGAAAGTGACAGGGGTAGTAGAAGGGCCCTTGGAGCTTAGGAGAAAGAGGGAGAGAGATACACACCTTGAGGGATGAAAGAGGGAGGAGAGGCAGGGGTGTGCTCTGGAAAAGAGAGAGCTTGCTCATAATTTTTATCATGTAGATATACTGTACTTTATTTCATTATTCCTTTATTGATGGATATTTGGTTTTGCCTTTTTTTCTTTTTGATATTACAAACAAAGTTGTAATGAACATCCTTGTGTGTGCATCTTAAACATATATTTCTGTACATCAGATGCCTAGAAATGGCATTTCTGGGTCTAAGGGAATATGCTATGTTTTGATATTCATAAGTAAATTGCCCTCCTGTGAGGATATGCTAATTTACTCTCTCACCAACAGTGTATTATAGCATAGGCCATTTTAGAAAGCCCTTTTGAGATTGTTTCCAGTCCTTAAAGCGCTCATTACAGGTTTGGAAAGGTCACAGTGTTGGGCGTGTTTGGTTTTCTGGTAAGGAACTGCTGTTCCCTAGAGTAACATTACCATCTGTTGGCAGTCCTCAGAATTGCCCTGAAACAGGTTTTAGTTTGGATCTGATTTTTATGCCTTTGATAGATGCAAGCTCATCTTGATTAAGCACCAACAAAGGGGCGATAGAGACCATCAGCTCCTACCCCAGCGACGCTCTCTGCAGTTAGCTCTGCTGTCTGTGAGTACCAGCTCTTTCTTTGGCCCTGGAATCTTGCAGGTGAGGCCCTGCTGACTCAGACCTCATCCTGCATGGGACACTCTCCCAGGCCTTCGCTGCATTTGAGACACCTAGTTTTCTTTCAGTTCTGCCATCCCACCCCAGGACCTTTGTCTATGCTGTTCCTTCCGCCTGGAGCACGCCTCTCTCCTCCTTCCCTTTGCCAACTTATCTTTTACTCAGCATTTACTTCTCTGTCAAACATCCCTTCTTCCAAGAATCCTTCCTTGATCCCTTTAGACAAGGTCAGGTTGCCCATCATACATTTTCTTTTGTAGGACATATTTTATTGGCAATTATTTTTTAATTTGCTTAATTATTTAATGAAAGCCCACCTCTTCCACTAGAATATAAAACTACATGAGGGCAAAGGCCTAGAATAGTACTTAGTACATAGTAGGTACTCAATAAATATTTGTTGAATGAGCAAATGACACAGATTTTTCTTAACAGGGTCTTAACATAAAACATCTTCCATATTTTTGTTACCTTGATTACATGTTCCCCTTCAGATGGTGATTTTTTTTCCAGTTCTGCAGATATTTCTGCTGTTCTCCCTTCCTGTCTTTTGTTGTTGTTGACATATTTTTCTGAAATAGAAAAAAAGACTACATGAAATGGAAAAGACTAAAAAGTTTAGTTTTTATTGTATTGCTTATTATAAAATTAGTAAATGTTCTCTGTAAATTTCCAAACAATACGGAAATACGTGGAGTAGAAAACGAAAGTCTCCCCATAACCTCATCCTCCAGAAAACACTATTGATGATGTGTCTATCCAGACATTTTTCTATGCATATTGAAATTTATTTACATACCAGGCACTGCTCTGAAGCACTTTATAAAAGTTAAGTCAAGCAATCCTCACAGCAACCCTTGAGGTAGAACTATTATCATCCTGTCTTACAGATGAGGAAACTGAGGCTTAGGAGGAAATTGCACAGTGAATGAGTAGCAGAGCCAGAACTTGAACCCAGGCTCTAGGTTCACTCTTGACCGCCATGCTAGTTTCACCTCTGATGAGATGGGAGACTTTTTACTATGTGTGCCCTTTTTGAACTTTAAATTTTGAACCATGTGAATGTATAACATTCCAAAACATGGATAAAAGACTAAAAAATCCATGACAAAAGAAGTGTACACCAAGCTACCTTTCCTAAGTGACCCCCTTTAAGCCATCAGATACCACATTGTTGGGATCTCTTTGCTCCAGAAACTCAGGCTGGAGGCTGAGGAGAATGGGATTGTGGGTTTGATGAGAATATTGTACTGCGTCTCTCCCATTCCCAGCATCTCTCCAGTCTCAGTGGGTTTGCTTCCAAGGATCTCTAGTCTCTTAACACACATACCAGCCTGTGTTTTAGCAGGAAGACTTGGAGGAGTTGGGATAGAGCCACACTGACAGGGTAGGGCCAGCGTCCTGCAGTTAGACACAAAGGCCTATCTCTGATTCCTGGTTTCCCCCCATTGGCTCTTGGCATTCTGCTTTTTTCTGTAGGTGATGAGGTCACTGTTAGCTGGTCTGTGCTACTCCCCAGCACCAGAGTGCTGCTCCCCCAGAATGGATCTTCCTGCTTTGTGTAACTTCCCAATGTCGCCTTCTTCTTTATTAAGTTCTCAAATAGACCATGGCCCTGAGAGCATGTGGCTTGATCATCTTCCGAAGACGCCTCATTCCCAAGGTAGACAACGCTTCAATTGAGTTTCTACTGCTGCAGGCATCAGATGGCATTCATCACTGGACTCCTCCTAAAGGTACAAGTACCCAGAGGGGCCTCCTGGGGAAATGCCAAGTGTTACTCAGAAATCCCCCTTGCTAGGCTCCACACAAGTCTTGCTTCCCAGTAACTGTGCAGCAGGAAGGTGTGAGGTGGGTAGAAGCCCCCTGATCCTTTCTACAAACAAGGTCTCCCTCCATACTAGGCTAGAGCAGAGCTGGAAATAGAACTCTGTGACTGAACCCAGGACAGAAGCAGCACCTGTGTTTTTTGTATCATTCACCAGAGCGCCAGGACTCTGATGAATGGCTGGGAAGGAGGAAAGGCATTAAGGCTGGGCATTGAGGTCCTTGGGGCTACAGGTCAGGAGCTCAGAGTGAACAGCCCCTAGGCCAGCGGTTCTCAACCTGTGGGTTGCGACCCCTTTGGGGGTCAAACGACCCTTTCACAGGGGTTGCCTAAGACCATCAGAAAATATATATATAATTACATATTGTTTTTGTGATTAATCACTATGCTTTAATTATGTTCAATTTGTAACAATGAAAATACATCCTGCATATCAGATATTTACATTACGATTCATAACAGTAGCAAAATTACAGTTATGAAGTAGCAACGAAAATAGTTTTATGGTTGGGGGTCACCACAACATGAGGAACTGTATTAAAGGGTTGCGGCATTAGGAAGGTTGAGAACCACTGCCCTAGACAGAAGGGAGCAGGATGGGAGAGTTGGGTAGGAGAGGGGGAGGTGAAAAAGAATCCAGGGTTGGAGGAAAACAAGGAAATGGGAACAGCAAATAAAACTTGCACATTTGAGCCCTAACCCGTTTGGCTCAGTGGATAGAGCGTCTGCCTGCAGACTGAAGGGTCCCAGGTTCGATTCCGGTCAAGGGCACATGCCCAGGTTTCTTGCAGGAGGCAACCAATCAATGATTAAAACCAGTTCTTCAAATAATTTTTTAAAAATATATTTTATTGATTTTTTACAGAGAGGAAGGGAGAGGGATAGAGAGTTAGAAACATCGATGAGAGAGAAACATCGATCAGCTGCCTCCTGCATACTCCCTACTGGGTATGTGCCCACAACCAAGGTATATGCCCTTGACCGGAATTGAACCTGGGACCCTTGAGTCCGCACAGGCCGACGCTCTATCCACTGAGCCAAACCAGTTAGGGCTGAAATCAATTTTTAAAAAAAGGATGAATTAAAAAAAATTTTGCACATTTGAGTTTCACTAAGGAAAGACAAGGTGACAAAAGGGAAAGAAATGTTACAAATACCATGTATAGGAATAGCCACATTTGTCTCCTGATCTCCTATGTCACACTGAAAGATTTCAAAGGACCCCTCTGAATTTAGGGAGGCTTGGGCCTGGGGGAGAAGTTACCCTGTTAATGTTGATGGGCAGAATGCCGAATAGCTGATGTTGGGAAGGTGTGCTTAGAGACTCCCACACACTTCTGAGGGAAGGGAAGACATCCTGGATCAGAGTCCCTTCTGCCACCATCAGCACCCCTCTCACCTTCGTCCTTTGATGCATTACCTACCTGTCTTTGTGTGCATGACTCCATATGAGGTGCCATACAGAGAAAATTCTCCAGAAGCCATGAGCTCAAATGGTCTTTAAGTACAAACTGCTGGTTGCTTTCTGTCGGAGCTGTGCAGCAGCAGCTGACTCAGGGCAGTGCTACGAGGACCCTAGGAACGAGGAAGGCTAGAATATAGCCCTGTCTCAGAACCAAGAAGGGAACAGCTAACAATTCCTGCTCCCCATGAGCTCCTAAACCAGGAGGCCCCCAGCAACTGCCGGAGCCATGTGTTGACAGAGGCTGCCAGACCCCTCCCAGTCCTTCTTGGCTCTTCTGGGCAAACTGAGAATTTGCAGGAAGGGCCTAGCGGCAGAGCTGAGGGCTGCTCCCAGTCTGCAGAGCTTCAAGTTCTCCTACAACAGTTTCTTGGCAGCTGTCGGCTTGGGTTTAGGTCTTGCCAACAAATTTTCTTAGAACTGTTTCTCGGCTTGTCCTTAGTCTAAGTTCCCATCAGGACTTTCCCTATGAAACTGGAATCTGGTCTTGCTCAGTTAGAAAGATGAAAACAATTTGGAAAAGCCTTGATAGCTACTTGGAAACAGCTGCTGATGCTGAAGTGCATGGTTTTGAGCCTGTCTGTTGGCCTTGGGACTTTAGAGACCAACTGCAGACAGTGTTAACTCCTCACTGTGGATTGAGGCAAAGTGCTCACTCTCAGCTGGCTCCCATCTGCCAAGAAGGGACTGCCCCTCCTTGGGAACATCACTTTAAGGTCTCCAAGGGAAAGGTCTCCTTAAGAATATGTGATGAGGAAAACTCCAAAGAATAAGAAAGCAGAGGTCTGAGGGAGGCCATCTCTCACCATCAGAGGAGCAGTATTCTAGACCAGACTTGCCAAGTACATGGTCTGTTTCACTCTCTGTAGAGAAGATGGGGTGAGGAGGAGGGGTTTCCCAGATACTGCAGAGCCAAACACTACCTGCCCTGCACCCCATTCCTAGGCGTGTTCGGATATTACCAATCTCTAGACGCCCTTTAGCCTAGCAACAGCTAGAAAAGTCACCAAAGATCCCATCTTTAAATCATCTAACCTGGAAAATCCAGCTTTGTTGAAGATTATCTCCCCCTCCTCTTTCTGTTTTCTCCTAACCAGGCCATGTGGAACCCGGAGAAAATGAATTGGAAACAGCTCTGCGGGAGACTCAGGAGGAAGCAGGCCTAAAAGCAAGCCAGCTGACCATCATTGAGGGGTTCAGAAGGGAGCTCAATTATGTGGCCAGGAAGAAGCCTAAAACAGTCATCTACTGGCTGGCAGAGGTGAAGGACTATGACGTAGAGATCCGCCTCTCCCACGAGCACCAAGCTTACCGCTGGCTGGGGCTGGAGGAGGCCTGCCAGTTGGCTCAATTCAAGGATATGGAGGCATTACTCCAAGAAGGACACCAGTTTCTCTGCTCCACAGCGGCCTGAGCTGAAACACAGTCATTTGCCTCAGTAGGATCCTTGAGGGCCTTTCTGAGATGAACCCACCTTCAGCTCCAAGGAAGGTTGTGCTGGTCTTTGGCTCATCATAGCAAAGAACAGATAGGTTAGTAAATCAGCCTTGCACACTCAGAGGCGAGCAGGCAAAAATCTGAGCTGGGTAGAAAGGAAGGTAAAGGAGGAGTTTTAAAAAAAGTGCATCCTTGTACAAAATAAACCTTAAGCAACCTATCTGTCCTTTAAGCTGCTGTATTTATTTCTTGGACTCTTGCTCTTGGTGGGAGAAACACTAAAGTGAATTGGAGCTCTGGCCTTAGCCAGAAGGCATCCTGTGTCCATGCACTGTACCCCCGAGAAGCTAAGGGAGTGGGGCTCTCCTGCCTCTGGGACTCCAAGCACTCTCACCCCACCTCCACTGAGACTTTTCTACCTGTAGTCGGATGGGATATGCAAATGAGTGGAACTAGAGCACAGGAATGAGGTCTGTTTGGCTCACTAATGTATCTCACCCAGCATCAGTCACATAGGTTGTAGGTGCTCAGTACATTTTTTCTAAAATAGAGACCCAAGGAACTTGGGGACATAGCCCAGATCACAGCAGGGAGAAGAGGGACAGTCAGCCCTGGGCCACCACGTCAGTGACACATGTGCTCCAGCCTCTTGGCCCAGTCCTGCCTCCCAGAGTCAGCATGGGCCTTGTCAGCACGACTGAGGTCACTGGCAAGAAGCACGCCCAGGCCAGAGGGACTCTGCTGTGCCACCCAGCAGCCCTGTCACTACACATTGTGCATTCGCGCCTGCAGCTGCCTTCTCCACCTTCAGCAATCCCTCATCATTGGTTTTTCTCTCTTCCCTCCTACTCCCTTTCTCCACAACTCAACTGTAAGACCCAGAGGCGCAAGAGTTGGGTCTCAGCCCTCTTTTCCCTTGCTACTAGGGCTCAAGGAATGTAGGGCAGGTGTTAGATCCTATAGCCCTTCCAGAAGCTGTTAGCAGCTGAATTCATGTGGATTTTATTAGAGGGTTGTTGCCCAGTGAAGTGCAGAAGATTGGATGGGAAGGGTCATTGGCAAAGGTCAACCCAGATTACCAGGGTCAAGAACTACCACCTCTAGAGGAAGGAAAGAGAAGTCACCCAGGTCTTAAGCGGCTTCCAGATGTTTTCAGTCCCCAGATCTCCGTGCAGACAGGGCAAAAGTATTAGCGAACAGGATCTTGGAACATCGCCAGGGACCTGAACGGTTTTGTTCCTCACCCCTCTGAGCAGCACTCTGAAGGAGGCCTGCTGCAGGAAGTTTTTGGAGCTTAATGTTCTCTTTCTTGGCCAGCAGGGACCACATCCCATTGATTTAATAAATGCCTTGCCGGGCAGTGGTGCCAAACCACAGACTAGCTGCCTCCTAACAAGGGCTGGCCGGCCCTGTGCTCTCAGCATGGGAGGCTGTGGAATTTCAAGATGCTAAGACCTCATATGTCAGCGTTGGAAGGGATCGGGAAAATGACCTGATTTTGCTGCTTGTTTTTATAGTTGGGAAAACTGAGGCTTAAAAAGGTATGCTTTGAGGATGGGGTGCCAGAGGAAAAACTGCTTTAGAATATCTTGTATATCTTTGGGGTATTTCCTCTGGGCCTCACAGAGTTTTCCATTAAAACACAGGTACTTTGGCCCTGACCGGTGTGGTTCAATGGTTACAGTGTGAGCCCATGAACCGAAGGGTCGCGGGTTCAATGCCCCATCAAGGGCACGTACCTTGGTTGCAGTCTCGATCCCTGACCCGGTCAGGGTATGTGTGGGAGGCAACTAATCGTGTCTCTCTCACATGGATCTCTCTCTCTCTCTCTTTCTTTCCCCCCTCCCTCCCTTCCACTCTCTAAAAAAGATCAATGGAAAAAATATCCTCCGGTGAGGATTAACAAAAACAAAAGAACACACAGCTTCTTTGGAGAAAGGGGGGGCCTTAAATTGTATTCATTTGCTCACTTTGCAGGAAGAATTAACAGCACGGGACTAGGCAAGTTATGGGAGGTGGATAAGGGTGGGAGAGAGTGGAACTGGGACTGGGATGTGGCAGGGGAGTAGGCTTTGTTGTCAGCACCACTTTGCTTCTTGCCAGCTGGGCTTGTTCAAGAGCTGTGAGTCTGAGGTCACAATTTCCCCTTCAATCTGAGGCCCTCCAAGCTCCAGAGCACCTCCTTCTGGCAGTTTTTCCTAATAACCACCAACCCTATAAATACCATCCTAGTTTCCCCACCTGCACCCAAAGAGGCTCCCCTTGGAACTCCACCTGTTGTTCCCAAAGCCACTTCCACCACCCCAGGGTGTAGAAGCATCTAATAGACTTATCCCCACTAGGGTAGTCTTAAGTTTCCCCCTTTAACAGAGGGATTTAACAGAGGCTCTGGAAAACCAAAATGCCTTCTTGCCTCCCAAAAGCAACACCTTACACCCCCACAGTAGGCACTTGTTTGCTGACTTGAAGAGCCAAAAGAATGAAGTTATAATGGTAGTTGTAATGGTACAGTTTTTATGGGTATGGGGCCCCAGCTAGTCCCCCACGTTTGGGAAGCAGAAGCTGACATCTCCATGGGTCCAGCTTGTGGCCCAACCTGCCTTCTTTTGTAGAGGAGGGACACACCAGCAGGCTGCGGCTACCTTAACGCTGTGCTATAGGTGCCTAGAGAGACCTGCTCTCTCCCTTCCTCACAACTTGCCCCCCCCCCCACCGTTTGCTTCCCTTCCCCTCCCATTCTACCTCCTACTCAGAATTATGTAATAGGAAATTCCCAACTGGGCTCTCTGAGGAGGGGGAAGGGGGCTAGGGAGGGAAAAACAGCACAAGGATATAAAATACGGAGACACAACCTCTTCCTGTTCTTAAGACCAGGAACTCCAGGGACAGGGTCTCCCCCTCTTCCTTCCCATTCCTCCCCTAACCTCACCCCAGCCAAAGTCAGGGCTTGCCACATAAGGCCAAGAATTCTCCCCTCCCTTAATGGGTGAAGGGGGTCAAAAGGTACAAACTTCCAGTTATAAAATGAGTAAGACCTAGGGATGTAATGCACACCCTGGTGGCTATAGATAATAATACTGTCCTGCATATTTGAAAGTAGCGAGGAGAGTGGATCTTAGTGTTCTTAATACAAGAAAAAAGTTCTTTCTTGTCAAATGTTAATTGGACTTATTGTAGTAATGTAATACACAGATATTGAATTTTATGTTGTATACCTGCAACTAATACAATGTTATGTTGATTATAGCTCAATTAACAAAAACAGATATCAGCCTCTGTTTTCCCCTATTAAAATGGTGAAGTACTTTGAAAAAAAAAAGAATTTTTCCCCTCCGCTCAAGCTGCTGGAAAGATTGTTGGGTATGATGAAGTAATGACTAGCCTTAAGATAAAAACCAGGTTGGTCCTTGGGAACTGGGGTGTGTCAGAGAGGGGAGGGAGGGTGTCAGCAGAAGTCCCACTAAGTCAGACAATGGCAGGAAAGGAAATTAAAAAACAAAAAGAAAGAAAGGAAATCACCCAGTTGCCGCTGCGGTTTTCTTCAAGGCTGGGTCTAGGCAGGCCACCCCTTGCTAGGATGTGCTGTGGAGCTATTCCAAAAACAGAAGGTAGTGCTTCTTCAAATGCTTTTCAAAATATGTTCATGGGTATGTGTGTGTGTGAGCAAAACAGAAACAGGTGCGGGGAGGATTCAGATCTTGATTTAATTCCTATGTGACATAACTAAATTTCAAGAAGAGTTCTTTGGATACTATGTGGATTGAGTTGAAAGGTCACGGAGCAGAAAGAGTTACGAGGCCACTGCAGTGGTCCAGGCTAGAATTGATAAGGTCTGATGTGGGGTAGTGACCAGGGGATGGAGAGGTCAACATTGACCTTGGGCTTAAGTAGGGGAAAAAGGACCAGAAAGCTCAGTGGGGGGAATCAGCAGAAGACTTGCTCTGGAGCTAGCTACAGTGAGAGATACTTTACCCAAATCTGGAGGAACAAGGGCAAAGACCCTTCCAGAAAATTCACATCTTGGTCTCAGAGAAAGGGCTTAACCAGGGTTCAGCTGATTCATATTGTGTTGGACGGGACACTGAGTCAGACTCTCAGAGTGCATAAGGCCGCAGAATGAGGATATTAGGCCCCAGCCCTAGATTTCCTTCAGTGGCCACTCAGTTCCTCCCCATTATCTCTGAAGAAGGGAGTTCTCATCTATATATATAAAAGCCTAAGTGACCAAGTGACCAGTGGACTGGTCGCTATGATGCGCACTGACCACCAGGGGGCAGATGCTCAACGCAGGAGTGTGCTCAGTGTGCTCCCACAGGGGGAGCACCACTCAGCCAGAAGTCGGGCTAAGCTGTCATTCGGACATCCCCCGAGGGCTGAGCCTCTAGTCCAGTGATGGCGAACCTATGACACGCGTGTCAGAGGTGACACGCGAACTCATTTTTTGGTTGATTTTTCTTTGTTAAATGGCATTTAAATAGAGGGACAAGCAGCTTTGAGGAAACCTATAAGCAGAGTTACTTATATTAATTCCATAAGGGGTCAGAAGGCCAAAATTTTTAGAGTTCTGTATATGCCCATGATTCCCATTCTCCACTAGGTGCTAATGATCTAATCTTATCTAATAAAGAGGGAATATGCAAATTGACCATCATGCCATAACGGTCAGGATGGCTGCACCCACATCAGAGGCAGGGATTCCGTAACACAAGATGGCTGCACCCACAGTGGAGGCCGAGTTCCCATAACGAGCCTTAATGAGCAATCAGCAAGGACCTGAGGCTGTGCCCCCCCCAACCACCCCCCCGATGGAGCTTGACAGGGGACCTCAGGCCATGCCCCCTGCCCAGCAGAGCTTGATGGGGGACCTCAGGCCGCACCCCCACCCCAGCACTGGGCCAGGGGACCTGAGGCCGCACCCCCCACCTGGCAGGGCTTGACAGGGGACCTCAAGGTGTGCCCCCCCACCCGGTAGGGCTTGGCGGGGGACCTCAGGCCGTGCCCCCCGCCCAGCACTGGGCCAGGGGACCTGAGCTGCGACCCCGCCTGGTGAGGCTTAACAAGGGTGGGACTGGCTGGGTCTGGATCTAGCCCAATGGGGGTGGGGCCAGCCGGGTCTGGGTCTCGCGTGATTTCGAGTGGGTGGGCGGGGACTTGACTCTGGGTCCCATGGCGCGCCCCAGACTCTGACAGGAGGAAGATTTTCATATACATTTTACTAATTTTCTTTTATCT